TAAAATCATACCTAGTTAAAAACAAAAAAGTAACACCAAAAATAAATCAAAATTAATCTCAAATGTTTAGCCCAATTAATAAACAAAATGACAAAAATAAGCTATTCCACCCACCATTCCCTTTATAAGTCCTTAAAAACAACAACAAACAACAAATTAAAAACTGAAGAAAATTAAGCCATTTTCACCATTCATAACTGCCAGGCCCAACACCTGCTAAGGCCCCAGGTTTCATCAGCCCAGGCCTTCTTCATCATCATCCTAGGATGTCCTGACCAAACAGGGCAAAAGGAACATTATCAAGGAACAACATCACCTCCTCTACCAGCTCCAGCTAAGTCCCAAACGCTACCTACAATAAAATGAAGTCAGACTTTAACAGAAGCAGCCACAACGGCAGCTCCAGACTATCCCAACTAACTTTTCTCCTTTACCCAATAACCTGTTTGTACCATCTAAAACACTGTCAAACAAGGGTTTTTTTCTTCTAAACTCCAGCTGAAATAAAAAAATATAAAGCCTTACTTAATACTTTATTTTTCAAATCCTTTAACTGTTTTTCCTATTAATAATGAACGTTAATATTATATTTGCCACAATAGTAAGTAAGGGTAAAGTCCCTGTAAACCAAACCTGCGTTTAATGTTAAACAGTAAGTGGGTTATGTTAACACCTTTAGCCCTTTTATTCCATCTAAATTAATACAACAGTACTAAGGATGTGAATTTAGCACAGCTTGTGATGCTGCAGGGCAATGGATTCCCAAATCCAATGTGCCCATACAAGCCTAGAGCTAATCACTTTTTTCTATTCGTTTACTTGACAAACTTCATCTCATCCAATGTGTTTCAGCAGAATGTCTATTTTTCTCCCCAGATGTCTCTCCCTGGAGCTATCCAATGTAATATCTGTACCGTGGTTCACATAAAACATCAGCATTAAAAACAAACAAGGTTTGGCTTCTTACTGCAAGTACACACCTGTGTCTGGAGGTTTCAGGGGGAGTCTGCTCTGGTGAGCAGGGAGTATTTCCAACTTGACATTTTCCGAAGTGGTGGCTAAGAGCTGAGTGGCCTCTAACAAGGAACAGTGCTCTGTGCTGGTGCCATCGATGGAGAGGATGTGATCACCAATGTGCAAGGCCCCACATCTGCAGAGAAAAGACACAGCCCATTATCTAAGAGCACAGATTTGCATCATGTGGTTAAGACTAGAGTTGGGCAAAATTCAGCCATTTTGGTTACCAGGGCTTTCACGTGAACCAGTTTTCTTCTCAGTTTTCTGTTCTCCCCTTTAATTTCCAGCTTCTAGCAAATGAAGCCAAAAACTCAAAGGGTGACAATCAAGTCTGGATTGGTTCAGTTGAAGCCAAATCAAAAACCCAAGAGTTTCTAATATTTTGCACCCACAGCTAAGGCAGGATAGGTTGGCTGAAAACCCAGCCAGCTTCTTTATGAATACAGGCCGAGTTTCAGGTGTATATTAAATCCTGGCAGCCAGTGAAGGAATTCAATGACAAGACTATTACACTAATCATGACCTATGATTGCAGAAAGGCCTGTATTTCCTATACCCCAGCATAAAGCGATAAAGTGTATCTAACAAATGGGCTCATGCCAGAAACATCAGCTCTATATTTTTGAGCATCTCAAGGCTTGAAGATATTCAGATGTAGGCTTCGTATTTGGGCTCAATTCTCATATGCATTGGATCAAATTTTCGTCCCTGATGAATAAAGTCCAATGAGATTTTTTTAATCCCACCAATTTTGCACAGAATCCTTGGACATCACTAAAAACACACATTTTTTCTAGAAACTAGTGCATTTCAAATGGGGGAGAAGTGAAATCGAACTGAAAAGGTACAAAGGAAGCAGCAGAGAAGACAAGTGCAACACTGCCATCTTGCTCGGGTTCATACCTGTCTACTACGCTGGCTGGCTTGATCTTGTCAATGACTATGACCTGTTTATTCCGATGCGTGCCTGTTGTCAGAGTGATTCCTAGCGTAGATCCAGGAGTCTTGGCTATTTCCACTAGTAATGGACCGGAAGCATTGGCTACAGTATCTGAAAAACAAAAACAGCATGGAGTCTTAAGACAGTTCTATTTCAGTTTTCCAACTATAAAGTATCGAGGAAGGCAATGGACTTGGCAATTTGCACGTTCACCAGTATAGATGGAATCTTAAATGCCCAGTTCTCAGTATCCGCCCTTTGCTGCCCCTTTACTTCCTCTTGTGTCAATACGTAAGCTCTGCAGCTTCTAAACAAAGATGTGGTAATAGGATCTAACTCTCTTACAAAGTTTCACCAGTTTCCACATGACCACCTTTTGCTACATTGATGAAATAAGATCAGGCCAGACAGTACTCTAAGACCATGTAATACTTACATCAATAATATTAAAAGCAAGCCACAACGTTTGCCTCCTGGGAGGTTAGAGAGGGTTGCAGAGTGGAGAGACAATGCACTAGTTCTCTTCCTAGAAAGGTACAAAGAAACCCAGGGAGAGAATAGAAACCTACATTACCAGCTATGCAGAGACAGACAAGTGGGTCTGCACACAAGACGGAGCCAGGAACTCCTCAATAATCATGGCTTTGGCACAGACTCCCTCTATGGCCTTGGACAAGTAATTTCTCATCTCTGACTCAGTTTATTTATCTATAAAATGGGGCTAAAGACCCAGACTTACCTATTACCTGACAGGAGTGAGGAAATTTTGTCATTTGTTCATGTCTGCAAATGTATTTTCATTATAACTAACCATCAGATGCTGTATTAGAGACTGTGCCTGCTCAGACTCAGACACACACACACACACACACACACACACACAGATTCATATATTAATACACCTCTACCCCGATATAACGCGACCCGATAGAACACGAATTTGGATATAACGCAGTAAAGCAACGCTCCGGGGGGGGCAGGGCTGCGCACTCCGGTGGATCAAAGCAAGTTTGATATAACGCGGTTTCACCTATAACGAGGTAAGATTTTTTTGGCTCCCGAGGACAGTGTTATATCGGGGTAGAGGTGTATCTTAACTCCCTTCATAGCCGATAAACTATTTCAAGAGGAGAGGGGAAAAAAAAATCTGGATACCAGGCATCTGACTACCTAGATAAGGGTCCCCCTCCCCGCTATGAGATAACCTAAGGCCATCGTAAAGCAGCAAGATTTATGAAGCAGATAAAAGTTTTAACACTACGCAGTCCACAGCCAGAGTTGGAACCCTCCCCAGCACTCTGGGATGTGAGTAGGTGGAGAGTTTCACAGAAAGTTAGTCATCTGCTTCAAAAGAGAAGCTAATAGAATCACCTCTGAGAATTCCTGCATTTGGTGCCTCCAAGGCCCTTGATTATTCTGGGCAAGGCTTTTCTCTTCTACAGTGTGTGCCCACACCTACTCTGCACTAAAGTGCTGATATTATCTGACTGCAACGAGAGACAGGGCTCACTCCAGCTTTCAGATAAATGGTAACGCATTGATGCGGGTCTCAGAAGTGTCGCTGTTCCTTGTGATTTCATAGACACTCACTCTCTGGACACAACCAAGGACATGTCTACATTACACACTGGAGCGACGGGCAGCGATTGATCCAGCGGTGACGCAATAAATTGACCACCGAGTGCTCTCCTGTCGACTCCAGTACTCCTCTGGAGCAAGAAGCGGAATCGATGGGAGAGCGACAGCCGTCGACCTACCGCGGTAAGTAGATCGAAGTACGTCGACTTCAGCTACATTATTCACGTAGTTGAAGTTGCATAACTTAGATCGATCCCCTCCCCCCCCAGTGGAGACCAGGCCTAGGTGAGCAGAAGTTTCCACCACCTGGACTATTGCCAGGAGATGTGCAGAGCTTCAGTTTTCTAGATCTCAGTTAGGCCCTGTTCACAGGATGTAGAGGGGGAGGGGGGCCCAGAGGCAGAGGACGACTCGGAGGCTAGAGACGCATATTTACTCCTAATGGGGAGCCATGTTTAAGCTTGGTTTGAACAAGATTCGAGCTAAAATAGTTTTTAACATGTTAGTGTCAATTAGTGTGTCAATGGGTGTGTCACACATTCTTTTAGGACGCAATGAAAGGAGCAATTACATTAAGCTCCTTTTGGTCGTAGAGAGAGCTGAGTACAAACAACGGAGGTACTGCCCAAGGCACCTTCTAGGTTAGAGCGAAGCCATCTGGGTTGAGGGATTTAGGATATTAGTTTTGCAGCCTGTGTGTGTTAGGCCTGGTCTTCACTAGCAAGTTTCTGCGCAGTAAAGCAGCTTTCTGTGTTGCAACTCCCAAGATGTACACACTGCCAAACCACGTAGGGTGCAGAAACTGCGCAGTTGCAGCGCCGTAAAAAATCCACCCCAACGAGAGGCGCACAATGTATCCCCTTCTGCGCCGGGGGTACAGTGCCGCCATGCCAGTGTAGACCCCCTGGTCGATTACAGCACTGCAATTGGCCCCGAGAGGTGTCCCACGATGTTTGTTCTTGCCTCTCTGGTCATTGGTTTGAACTCTGGTCACCTGAGGGCAGGGCAGTAATCGTCATCCCCACCCCGTAAATTCCTTGGGAATTTTGAAAGTCTCCTTCCTGTTTGCTCGGTGATGCGTGCAGTCGTCTCAGTGCATCTTTCCGGGTGGCCATGCCTGCTCCATGCACCAGGCGATCCCCCGCTTGGAGCAATGCCGAGCTGCTGGACCTCATCAGCATTTGGTGAGAGGATGCTGTCCAGTCCCAGCTGCGCTCCAGCCGTAGGAATTACGATACCTATAGACATATTTCACGATGCATGACAGAAAGGGGCCATGACCAGGACACATTGCAGTGTAGGGTCAAAGAGAAGGAGCTGCAGAACACCTGCCACAAGGCACGGGAGGCAAACCGCCACTCTGGTGCTGCACCCACGAGCTGCCGATTCTACAAAAAGCTGGACACGATACTCGGTGGCGACCCCGCCTCCATTGCGAAGTCCACTGTGAATACTTCGGTGGCTTGCATGCCAGTCGAGAGTGGACCGAGCCAGAAGGAGGAAATCTTGGATGAAGATGTAGAGGGGGAGGGGGGCCCAGAGGCAGAGGACAACTCGGAGGCTAGAGACGCATACTAGGAGCTCTTCTCTACCCTGGAGTTGTTGGGGGCAGGAAGATTTCAGAAAGCAGGCTTGTGTCTGTATGATGCATGTACCACCACATGCCTAGACTGAGTGGAGAAACAGGCAGTTGATTGACTCCCTCACTTCACGGGAATCTGCCTCAGATCTCCAGGAAACTCTCATTGAGATACTGGGCAATGCACTCAAAGTTTCCACACAAAGTTTCACAGAGTTAACTAAATCAGTTTAAACACATACCATTAGTAAAACCGGTGCAAACTCGTGTGTGTAAACAAGTCCTGAGTCACCACATGCTGCTGACCTCTAGGACAATGACCAGGGATTGCCCTCTGTTCATTTTTAAAAAAACATCAGTTGAAGAGAGACCAGCCATTCAAACTTATGTCATTGTGCTAGGGAAAGACAATTTACTCTTCTCCCAAAATTAGGATCAGACACCTGCAATTTAGCACAATTAGTAGAGAGCAATTAGCACAGGGCTATTAAGTTCAAAACTAATTTAAAAGAATTGTTGAGAAAAGTCAGCAGGCAAAGTGAATGCGCACATGATTGAATCAATTTCTATGCATCCCTTCGGCACTAGGGAGATGTTACTGTGGCATTAGGCACTTCAGCACCTTCCTCAGGCATGGAAAGAAGGTGCTGGTGGCAGCAACAGAGCGGGATAGTAAAGAAGCCCTAAAAAATTAGTCATCTAGGCATTTCAGGTGTGTAGCATAAGTAAAACAAGGCAGACTAGGCGCTGCACTCCGTAACACCAATCCCACTACAGATCAGAGTAAAGCCCAGCTCACAATCGGTAAGATTCTCTCTCACAAGCCAACACAGGTTTAATCAGCTGTTTGGAGGCTCAGAGTTTAAGAGATATCCAACTCAAACCTTCAGTGTCCCCCAAGGGCCATACGTCCATTACTGCTGAGCTAACAGAACAGAGCCCACTGCTGCCCAGCCTAAAGATACACAGCAGCTTTTCTAATGCCCGTCATATTTTGTTAATCAATAAAGGAGCCAAGGCCCTGTAAAGCAAGTAATACCTTGCACTATTATATGGACTTTCACATAGGGATCTCAAAACGCTTTATGGCCAACGAAGCCTCTCAGCAGCTCTGGGAGGGAGGTATCACAGTCCCCATTTTACAGATGGGGCAACAAAGACATTGAGATAAGCGACTTATGCAAGGACACAGTCAGTCAATTGGTAGCAAAGATGTGACTAGTAGAAGCCTTCTGACCCCCAATTCCCTGTTTTGGGCACAAAACCATCCATCTCCTGATAGGAATGGGTGTGCCAGCTTGGGGGAAAATTTTCTACCCTCACACTTTCCCCTCTCTCTAGAAGCAAATCTTTGAGATTCTGAAATGATCCAATTGTGATCCAGGGAACCCCCCTCCATGCCAAATGGCAGAGGGCACAGCATACCATTATCCACATCAGGCTGACACACTCATTGCCCCTGCTCACTGCTGTCACAATCTGTGTCTAAAAGGTGTCATGTGAGGTATCGCATGCAAACTGGTAACACACGGGACATGAATATTAATTGGATGATGGATGCACGGGCAGTGCCTAAAGATGTGTGCTGGAAATATGCTCTTAACAGGCGTTTGGAAAGCAGTGCCTAAGCCCAGCCTCTCCTAGACAAAGGAATGTTGTTTTGCCTGGTTTCCAGTGCCTCCAATGTAAATTGAGCCAGGTAGTATCGCAGAGGACAATGAGAAGTACATCTACGTAAAAGGCACACAAAGCCATCAAGCTAAATGAGCAGGGGGCGGGGCGGGAAGACCGCTTAACTATTATGATGGAGGACGAAGCCTTCACCCCAGGAAGCCTTCCTGGCTCTTGAAACAGAGACAATAGACTTTAGGAAACATAAGCAGAATCAGAAAGGCATTTTGGCATCCATAACTCGTGGGACACAAGAGGCCAGAACTCTTGTATTCTGAGAAAG